TTTTTTGTATATGGTAAAACTTGTGGGGCCAGTTAATGTTCATGCCATTGTTTTCATCCACCCAGTCGAGTCTTTATACCAGACAATCGTTCTGGGAGGATTCCAGGACTGATTGACCTGATAGAGACATCACTACGAAACTTGGCTACCGGACCAACGAGGTAGTGGCGATTTTTGCTTTGTTCAGCTCTTTGCTACAGTAAGGTAGATCTATAAAATATAAGTCCATGTTTCAAAAAAAAGGTGTTGTAAAGTCAAGGTTGAAGCGGGCCGAATTAGCCGAAGTGAGATTTGATTTTCGCTGTCCGTATACAGATTTATAATTCTTCGTCATCTATGAAACAATAATTGCTGTTTGTTTACCATATTAAACAGTAGTGGTCAAAGAGGAGGGCACCTGGGAGGGTTAGGAAATTTCCAAATCTGGCAATCCAACCGTTTCTTAATTTGTGCTACCGGCACCGTGGATGAAGGAATGTGGTTGACGACAGGATATCAAACTATTGTGTATGAATACAACATTTGGTAAAAGCGCTAGTATCACCTGTCGTCCCGTCGATCATCGATTTCCACGAGCGGGCGCCAGTAAAATCTTTATTTGTCCCTGTCGCGAGCCAGTGTAGCCCAAAAAATCGTACTCGCTCGAGGGACACGGGGCAAAGCATTCTTCCCGTTCAGAGCTTTCGTGAAGAAGCCTGACCATGGCGCTGGCGGCCGTCCTGGTAATATAAGCAACATACTCGATAACGAGTCAGATAAGATAATCTTTGCCTCTACGAACAAAAAAGTTTTGATATGATGGAACTCAAATATTAAGTCCACGTTATCATGCTAAAGTCACTCCTTTCTCTCGGAAGCGTCCAACTATATGAAAAATAACAATACTTTATCCCAAAAGCGAGTACGGACCCGTGAGTTCTAGTTTTCAGAAATGAATTTCTAGTTGGGAAGTTCATTAAGTAAAATACATAGGCAGGGTTGTGTAAACGGTAAAGTTTTTATCAATCAGATCGTTCAGCTAACATTGTGGGGTGTCTACTAATCTTTGAGAAGTCCCCATGCCTATCATGAACTCGGCATTCCTTTTGTTGATTTGACTGATTCAACAATAACTATCACAGAATCACATTTCTTTACCAGACGGCTTATTTTCGCTGGTATAAAGCTTTTTTCTGCGGCAATAATTCTACCTTTTTGTCTTTTTGTGAAGGATGCTCCCATAAATGATTCTGAGATTCAACTGCATTATTTATAAGAATCCACTGTCAATGTGTTCGTGGATGCAGAAAGCTCTGGCATTCTAAAATCCTCCATCATAGCCCATCAGTTATTATCAGCTCCTATCATCAAACATCTTATGACCTCGTGTCAGCCTGCTTCAAGTTGCAAAGTGACAAGCTACAACTTTTTACGCGGAAGGTTTTGCTGAGCCAGTAACCCTTGATTTGTGTGACATCTTATCGACTCTTATCAGTTCTTATCATCTCGCCACCTGTCCTAAGTATTCGCACCTTGCCGCCTTTATTGGTACAAAGTTCATCCAGGGTTCAACGCAAAAAATGTCGTGAAAATCCGGTTAATCATCCACACAGACATACAGCATAAACATACTCACACACTCACATACACTCGTACTCACACATGCGCATCCACACAAACACAAACACTCACTTAGCGACTCATAAACAAACAAACACGAACACTGGGTATATGTATAGTACAAATTCTCCTGACCCAAAGTTGAGAAGAAAGGCGGTAATGACCTACCTCTTCTCAATGATTGTGCTTATTGCTTAAATTAAATCATGAACTGAGGCAAGACGCGTAATTAGTAAGAACGGTTCATACTCCTATGAGAAGCTCTCAGGGACGCTCGGAAGTAGGAAGATCAACAGGCACAGAATACATGTTTCTCATAGTACTTTCAGTTTTCTTCCGGCATATTTGGGGGCTACAGAATCAGCGAGAGGCGAATCGAGAATAGAAGAATTCTGCTCATCACTAACAATAAGGGCTAAATATCAGCAGGCACTCGATAAAGTAAATATGAAAGGGATTACTATTTAAAAATTCCTCGGTTGACCTAATATTTAATTAATTTTACGTTTGTCATTGTGTTTTTGTTGTTCACAATAAGGCACAGCGCATTAACTTTCTACAGCCGTTTCTGTTCCAGTCTATAAGCCCTTGGACCTACAGAAACTAAGGGAACGATTAAGTGTCTCAGCGTCGCCTGACCCTTTTTCGTACTGCGCCATGTTCGCGACTTTTGCGTGGATGTGGGTGTGCATCAATCTACTTATGTAGCATTGAAATTTGCAGGTCTATCGCTATAAAAGCCCGTATTATACTAATCCCATATAAGTCTGCAACCACTGAAGGGATTAATGTTTGATAGTATACATAATGCCTTTCAAAGTTGGTCAGCTCCGTGTCTATCTAAACCTCATCTCTACATAAATCTATCGCACCTTTTTTCTCTATTTAGCAACTAGACGCTGAAGAAGTCGCTCCAACCTCCAGGCATTTTTCTAGCGACAAATATGATTGGCATTCCTTCACTCAGGACCTCTCAAAAAAAGGCATCATTGGCTTTTCTCATATCGATGAAAATCATGACCGTCGCTAACTGCATGTCAACCACTGTCGGCTAGACTATCGATGTTTTGCCTGCTCCGACAAGAAATATTTCCCCGTCGTCGCTACCGCTGTTTGGGGACGAACGATGCCATATACTACTACGCGCAAAATTAATAATATACCACTCATCGTTATATTTGGCCGTTAGAAAATACAGTTTTCTCACTAGTATTTTGTTCTTTGGCCAAGGCTACCAGCCGCAGATGGAACTGAAATATCGCGTTCTCGTCCAGTTATTTTGCGAATAAGAGTTTCCTTCCGGGTACAGAAACTATAATACTTCTCTCCTTTCCATTCAGTGCGATTACTCCCGTCTTTTCACTCTTTTAAATGAAATATTGTATTTTTAAACGTTACTTCAACATAGTTCCCATGGGCAAGGTTCTGCTCAGTTGTTACGCTGTGTATTACTCAACTTTACTTCAGTCTTTGATCATTATCGTGTTCGTCTCATCCTTTTCTGTTCGACTATGTAGCCAATCCTTCTCCTGTTGTGGAAGTATCCCCACGCGTGCATGGGGGGCTCAGATACTAAAATAGTTTTGACAGAAACAGAATGCATGAAGACCACAACCTTTGAATTCCCACAGCATACTAACATACTGTTAGCCTGAGTTACTTTTCGGCTATAAGACGTCGAGGAGTGCGCTAATAGTTAGCAAGCTCCGCCACCAATTTGCCCCGCATCTTGCGCGTCCGCTGTTTTTGGAAGAGATAGTGAAGCTGAAGACTGATGATTAAGAATGATTCTACATATGAAGCTTTTTAGCCGAAATCGCGGCAGCTTTTCTTCGCCATCGATGCGACCGATGTCCTCCCTGTCATCCGGTTCCGCTGACAGCGACTTCTACGGAATACACCCACCTCCCCCGTCATCGGTCGTGCCACCACCGCCTTCGTTGTCGTCTTCCACGTCACGTCCACCCAGTCCAGGACTACAGGTTAGTGCCCTTGAACAGATTAGCAGTTATTATTTTAGTCACGTTTTCATGACTACCAAAACCGGCTTTCTTACGAAAATATTAAGTGATGACAAATAAAAGTGGTGATGGAAGTGGCATCTTGATTAGAATACTTTTCGCCTTTCCTTGCGAAAAATTTCCATTCGTATAGATTGTGCATAATTTTGAAAGAAGAGTTGGTATTGTATATCTCTCCTAGAAGGCAGGAACAAGTGAGTCCCAAGACTGCCTGGAAGCGGTTCGAGCAAATGGGAAGGGAGGACAAATCGATTGGCAGTTGAGTGAAACCAAATTCCGCAATAATTCTAGGATATGATACAGTTGGAATGCGCTCTGTTCCCATACGATCTGTTGTGCTGGGTAAAGGGTCAAACTGATCCCTCCCTCGTTTATCAAGTGGGCGATCTTTGTATACTTTGGGGTCAGCTAACTGGAGCTCATTCTATTCTTGAATTGGTGATCGCATTGAAGGAATAGAGTAAAAATTAAGACCGCTTGAAAAATTTTTACGAATGAGGCATTACATATTGTGGATATGATCCAATTAATTTTTTTGGACTTTTATTCGTAGCACTTAGCAGAATGCGAAAAAACTACTGTGACCACAGTGAATGAATCATTCATTGCGCACAACACTTGAAGGATTGCATTACCCTTCCTATCATATTCATGGCCAACAAGTGAACAAGCACTTCTCACTCCTACCAAATCTCTTGAGCTACGTCATGCATACGCAATTCAGTCTCTTTCGCGGAGGCTTTAGTTGCGTGCTAAGTGTGATAACTGATTGCAGTGAGTCTAAGGTAGCCTACAACGTTGTACTATAGTGGTCCGAGTGGAACCCGATCCTACTGGCGATGCATTTTTTGACGATACGCTTAAACAACTACACAGCTCGAGAACATAAAGAGCTATGAAAATTGCACAGCTCCGCTTCAGCTGCAATTTTTATCGTTTGAGACCAGAATGGAGTTCTCCGTGGAAAGTACGCTGCCGAGACAAAAAGAGGAAGCCGAGTCATTTTTATTAAAAGCCGTCAAAAATTTTTAAAATCACATTTCCAACAATTCCTCATAGTTACATTTGGCAATAGTCGTTCTTTCCTTATCATTTTGCTCTTCTTTATAGTTTTTTTTTGATTCTAGATCACTCATCTGCTTCATCAAACAGCAAATCTGCTGGCTGTGAATGCTCAACTACGGAAGGAAATCGAACAGTACGTTTGAACCTCATCCACATTCTCTTTGACACTCTTGCCTTGCCGTCCTCCTCCCGTCCTATTCTCATCACTTTAGTGCTTCTATGCAAACGTATTAGTGTGAAAGTAGTACTGCGAATGTTTCTGAACTCTCTCTGATCAAGGCTGACCACTTGAGTTTGACTAGTTCTACGTTGTCAAACGGCAACTTTTCCGTGAACCCCCTCCAAGTAAATCCATCTCATTGTTCTCCCCGAAGCATCAACAAAGAAGAATGAAAAGGCGAGTGAATATGTGGAAGTAAAATTGGTGATCCGCTCTGATCATCAAAATATATCTGTTGAAGTGCGCCTTCTCCTTGCAATCCCTACAAGACATAATGTTATTCCCGATAAACAACTTTTCCACAACAGCTCCTCACAACTTTTACGGGANTCTAACATCGTGGACAGTTTTCCTAACTCTATAGAGGTGCCTAGGTCTATGTTCAAAGTTACATGGAAAGTTGGAATGTCTGACTGGTCAGTCCTTACGTCCCTTTGAATGCTCCGCAGAGACTATCGAACGGCAGCCGTTTGAGCATTAGGCGGCAGTAAACGTCATGTGAAGTTCGAGCGACCTTTAGAAGTGGTTATTTGTGAAGTCATGTGGCAATCGCGGCAGAGAAGATAAGCCTCAGTACAACGTTATCAGGAGAACAGAACGGCTGTTCTAAGCGGGCATAAAGTACTTGCACCTTTGAGTGCGTGCGTTCAGAGAAGACGTTTCGCGCGAGTACACATTCATACATAGTAGCGATATCTCGGAATGCCCTTCAAAACGCTCGTTTATCAAACGAGAATACGGAGAGAGCTAGGGAGGAAATGGCAAGAGAAATACATCCTAGTACCGTGTAATTAGGGTGCCAAATAGTGATAAAGAATTACATCTCTCATACGATATACTATTTTGTTTTCTCGTGGCTGCACTCACGCTACTGACAGATATTTCAGAAGCAGAAGTTTTCCGCTCTCTCGTTTTCCGAAACTGACCGTTACTCGTTCAATGTGAAGTCATGAGTATGATG